CTTAGGAGCCAGTGAGGCCCGACGCTTAAAGGGCTACGCTCATACTCATAGAATCTGGGGTTACAGTACGTAACCAACGTTCTATGTCGTATAAGCTTCGCCCTTTAAGGATATCGCTGATGGGTTAAGGGCGAAGCAGATGTGGTCCTCGCCTCACTGGGTCCATTCGAACACCGTATGAAGCAGAAGCTTGCCCAAAAAACGTCTTGTCATTCAGCTCCCCATGTGCGTAATTATGCATTGCATAATTGCCGGGATGAAGAGGGCCGGACGGGCTGAAGCTCAGCGAGACAGCCGTGGAACCGTCTTGCCACCGGCTCATTTCGTGTGGAGGGTATGAGAGAGAGCCACTGTCAGATCATCTGAGCTGACAAACTGGCTAAAACTGGACACTTTCATCATTAAATGATGTTTTACTCCCAACTCGTGTCACCTACACACATTCTCTGCCACAACAGTCCTCTGGCTCTGCCATTTGTTGTCCTAGAGTGCCATCTGTTGGCGGTCTCAGGGAATCGCTGAAAAACTCTGTCCTCCGGCTGCGATGCGGGCCGGCAGACAGCAAAGAGGCGCACCGGTTGGGGGTGACGTCAGCTGCTCTGCAGACGGAGCGTTGTCTCCTCCCACCTCTGAACATGTATGCCAACAGCGTAACGTGTTGTTCGCTGCAGCCGTCTGGAACGCATGCTGGTGAGCTCAGTCGAAGATCGGTGTCACCGTCTGGATTACGCTAACCGGAGGCGCGGGACGCTAGTCCACCTGGACATCTTGCTCCGATGAAGCCTCCGTCAGGCTCGGCTCCAGGGGCACTGAGGGAAAAAACGCTCGGTGAAAACCCCTCTGCTCTGGTGATGGGCGCGGGCTGTGGGAACCGGCCCCCCAATCTACCAGGAAAACCGTCTGTGGCCTCGTCCCGTAGGACGCCCTGTTGGGAAAAACGAGGCCAGATGGGGTCAGGACGGTGAGCCAGAAAAGGAGCCTAGAAAAAGAACCCTCCCGCCGGATCATCCGAACTGGCGGGAAAAGGCGCGGGACGTAAAAAAGGTCCCTTCATGTCAGCTACTCCTGGGTTACGCTGGCAACCCCAGAGGGTGCCGTCGGCCGGGAGCGGTGTGATCGCCGATGCGAAACGAGGTGGGATGAGGTGAGCATTCGCTCAGCCCCCCTCCACCGACACTACGCTCTCCAGGAGGGAATGAGCCGCGGGGGGCCGCTGCTGATGCTGCCTGTCCCGGAGGAACCATCCGATTCGCTCCTGGGGTTGGCAATAAGAGGAAAATTACAAGATGGCGTTGTCCAGCCTGTAACGACCTGTCACTGAGAAATACTCCTCGGCGCTTACCTTGAAACAAGACTGCTCGTCAGCTTCTCCTCGGGGAGGAGAGCTCACCGGGACGACCGGAGGTCGACGTGACGGGCCAAGCATTCTTAACAAAGGTTGGTCATCTACACAACTTTCCTTCTTCTGACAGTGCTATTAGCTCGCTGAAGAAAAATGGGAGCCGATTACCCGCTCTTAACGTAATTTATACGGACCGGGTGGGGCCCACACAGCAAGTGGGCGTGGACTAAATTTTTCAATGTAATGCCTCGCATAATGGGATAAACCCATCAGTGACAGCCTTAAAGGGCGAAGCTTATACGAAATAGAACAATATTCTTCTACAGGAGCTCTCACACAAAGCTCCAGTCGTTCAGAAATGTTGTTAACACTGCACCCTCATTTTTTATTAAGTAAAAAAAAAAGACAGGGAACACCAACATATTTTAGGAGCAATCTATCAAACTATTTAACTTTGATGTTTAAACTATTTGATAATATGAAGGATGTGTCAGGATTTCTAATGAATTCTGTTTCATGTGTATTCTGACTCTAATCATCTGTTCTGATGGTTGTGGAAGGAAGTTGTTTTCATTTCCTGCCGATGAAGGCAAAGAGGCAGTGGTTTTGCTTCTGTGTTCATTTATCTGTATCGTCAGCAAAACATCTCACTCAAGATATCTCACTGATTATTTCATTAGAATTTGCACCTGATCAAGTTTTTGAGACAAACAAAGATGGCCTCCGCAACAAAGGGACTTTAGAAAACACAAAAATGGCTACAACTCAGCCAGTTTGATCAATACTGAGTTGCATTTGGTGTGGCAGTAGCTGAGCTTTGTTCCTAGCAATGCATAAAATGTCTCGACGCACTGGGGAGACTTTAATAAAACTTCCAGAATGTAATCATTGGACGTACAATTGATTAAATCAACCCAATTCAACACAGCCTCCATTGCTAATAAACTTTAGCTTACACAAAAACAGCTATACCTCAGTGAATCTGATAGATTTAAGCTAAATTTTTGATTGCGCATAATGTATTTTTCAAAGTTTGACCAAAAAAGCTACAACTCTCTTCCTTCTCATCATGAAATTATCTTAGTCTAAAACTAGAGGTGGGCGAAATGCATTATTTTAAGAAATATAGTACTCTCCGCCTTTACTAAAACATGGATTATGTTTTTCTTCATACTACTTCACGTAAATGAGCCATTTACAAATGAGTCGTTGGTGCTAGCAAAGGAAGCAGGGTGTGCCAGTTTATAAAAGCTTGTTGCACATTTGTCTTTTTTGTTTCATGTCAAATATAAATCTTTAATAGGATGGACGGACATGCACCACTAATAAAAACATTAAAATGCAAAAGCATTTGTAAAACTGTGACGTAGAACATACTAAATGCACATCTCATAAAATCAGTGAATAAAGCATCTTAAAATGCACATGAACGAGTAGACTAAAAAGACTAAAGGTAGATCAATGTCCAGCTGGTTATTCAACTGTTGTTGTGGCAGGTTTAATGAAAAAGGAAATTAACACTTGAGTTCCTATGGGAAAGAAGCGTCGGCCTAATAGGAGCTCAAACAGATGGTGTTGGTGATGACTGAGGTTTTGTTAATGCTTGTAGCAAGACGGTGGTGGTGTGAATTGGCAAGGGAAGGCAACGTGAGGTTAGTAGTTTTCAGTGCAGCCTTGACCAATCGTTGGAGGGTCTGATATTGTGCACCCATCATGCCACACTATGATGCAGTTGGTCAAGGTGTTTTCATTAGCAGCACAGTAAAAGGTCAGTAACAATTCCCTTTGAAGTTTGTTTTTCCCGAGGATTCTCAGGAAGTAACCTTTTAGTCAAGGTTCTAGTAAAACTGATAAACTCTCAAATCAAAAATTACCTGGACTCATTTAACATCTTACCTCGCCATCAGTCTGGTTTCAGGTAACAACACAGCACAACGACTGCTTCACTGAAGGTTCTTAATGACGTTGCTGAAGCACTGGATGCTAAGGATTATTGTGCCGCACTTTTCTTAGACTTGTCTAAAGCTTTTGACACTGTGGATCATAACATCTTGTGCCATAAGCTCTCAGAAATTGGTTTCTCAGAACACACCATTGGTTGGTTCTCTAACTATCTCTCAGATTGCAGGCAATGTGTTCATCATAATGGTACTTCCTCCAGTTATTTAACAGTCAACAATGGTGTACCTCAAGGCTCAGTCTTAGGACCCACCCTCTTTACAATCTCCATGTAATTTAGGTCAAAACATCCCTGATGCATCCATACATTTCTATGCTGATGACACAGTTGTTTATTGTCGAGCTAAAACAGTTATTAAGGCTTTCCAGCTTTTGCAATCTGCATTTGACATCATCCAGTCTGATGTGTTCCATCTCAAACTTGTCCTAAATGCCGACAAAACCAAAGGGATGCTTTTTTCAAACAGGAAGTCGGTCCCAGCAGTTCTTCCTCTGATTTTATCCTCAAATGGTGTCCCCATTGAGTTTGTTGATTCCTATAAATATATGGGTATCTTGGTCGACTCGCATCTCTCTTTTAAGCTTCATGGGGAAAACTTGGTAAAGAAACTGAAAGTTAAACTGGGTTCTTTTTCAGAAACAGATCCTGTCTAACCCTGAATGCTAGAAAACGCCCTGTATCTGTGACTTTCCTTCCCTCCATTGATTATGGTGACATTATTTACATGAACGCTCCTACAAGAACCCTGCAGATGTTGGATGCTGTCTATCATGGTGCACTAAGATTCATAACTGGCTGTGATTATCGTACCCACCACTGCACCCTGTATTCACTGGTTAACTGGACATCATTAACTTCACGCAGACTCTCTCACTGGTACATTTTCATCTTTAAATCACTTCTTGATCTGCTGCCTTCATACATCTCCTCCTTCATGTCTCTGCGTGAGTGCAGCTACAGGGTGCGCGCTCAGGACATTATTACCTGCAGTGTTCCCTCAGTGAGGACTGAACTTGGCAAAAGGGCCTTCTCCTACTCCGCTCCCGTTTCCTTGAATATCTTGCAAAAAGATTTGAAGCTCTCGACCTTGACCTCTCTAAGTGGCTTTAAGAATCTGTGGACACATGCACAATCACATGATATGTGTACAAGGAGTATTAGAGTGGGTTCAGCACGCTACTTTGTGGGTCACCTGTGCTGAACATGATGGTAGAAGAGGAGTGGGGGCTGAGTTTAACAAATTGTCTGTGTTTTGTGAGGAAATAAAGAAACCCGGCGCAGGTGGGTAAAGGAAGGACCAAGTTCAGCAGCTTCTGATTGTGTTAAAAGCTGAACTATAATCACTGAATATCACCCTCATAAAGCTCAGTTCCTGCAGATAACAAACTCCTTTATTGAACGGCCATATCTGACTGCTTCCCCCTCATAAACTGCAACAACCCTTCTTATCATTCTGCAGTGCACCTGCGCATTGAGTTTTGCTCAGATGCTACCTGAAAAAGAAGGTGTGACAGGGTGGAAATTAGGGAGTGACTAGACAGAGTTCAACATTCTGCTCACTTTCAGCATCTGCAAGTCACAGAACCTAATCAGGCCAAAAGAAACGTTAATCACAAAGACGACACAAGGTGTTCTGAAGGTTGGATTGTTCCCATTTCAAGAGCCGTTCATCAAACTGACCACAGGATCTTGATCAGGATGGTTTCTCTGGACTTCAAGGCGCTGACAGAACGGGTGGGCATTGTGAGGATTCTGGAGGTCGTCTTCACATGTGTCACTTTCAGCTTGGTGGCGTCAGTGGGCCGCTCCATCGACCCTTTCTGGACCTGGTGCATGTTCACTTGGTGCTTCTGCTTCTGTGTCACCATCTTCATACTAATCGTGGAATTCACCAGCCTCACCGAAAAGCTGCCCCTGTCCTGGGGGGATTTCACCTCCGCATTTTCTCTGTTGGCTACCCTGATGGTGAGTAACATCTTACTTCTGGTTCTACTTCAGATTGTTTATGAACACTTAATTATTTAAGTTTATCTGTGAGTATTACTTTATATTAAAAGGGGACTACAGTAGATTGGTGGTCAGTGCCTCAGTCTTTTCCTGAAGATGAAGGTTCGAGCCCCGGTTGTGTCAAGGAGAGCATTCGGTGTAAAACAATTGCAAAATCTTTCATGCAAATGTGTTTGTTGTAGTGACCTCTGCAGAAGGGAGCGGCCGAAAGAAAAAGAATAGATTCAATAACTGATGAGTGCAGCATCTATGGAATAAAGTATGACAGTGTCTACATTGTTTGGTTTGAGAAATGGTGAACTTGGTAATCAAAAACTATATGTTGCACTAAATAATCTTTATTTTCTATAAATTATCACCTAATGAATCTAAAGAGATCGTTCTAATCTTCTGAAGAATGGTTTCGTGCAAGGTTTGTAAAAAGTTAATGTTTTAACTGCTCTAGGTTTTGGATTAACCTCAGATTGGAGAAACAGAGCCGGAGTTTTGATAGAACTGATGAGCTAATGGCCATTAAAACTGGGCCAGGACCCAAAATGAACTTCTCCTGGTTTCAAATAACTCTTACATCAAAACAATTAAACTCTAAATCTCAGAACCAATGCCATTAAATTAGCTTTTTCTAATTAATTGTTCCAAAAAGTCCCACTGCAAGGCATCTAATCTATTCCTTCAGTGGGATCAAATTGGATCTTTGATCTTTATTTTTGTGGTATTTGTTCTTATTTTAGCCCAATCAATAATCTGAAACTAGGTTATTTTGAATGAACACATGTAACCAGATCAGATTAAGTAAGAAGGAAGTATTTCACAGTCAGAGCCGGAAAGTCATTTCAGACTTATCTTTTGTGCAGGTGATGGTGGCAACCATCCTCTACTCCATGTTCTTCGCTTGTTCCTTGTGCGGCAGACAGATTGCTGCCAGTGTGTTCTCCGCTATCACCATCTCCCTTTACTCCACTGAGGTTGGAATAATTCGAGCCAGACCTGGTGAGATCAGTGGGTTTCTTTCCACGGTTCCTGGGCTGCTGAAGGTTCTAGAGGCCTTTGTGGCCTGCATCATCTTCATCTGTTTGCGTTACATCAATTACTGGGTGTATCCAGGGCTCCAGTGGTGTGTTTTTGTTTACTCGATTTGCTTCATTTTTTCCTTCCTTATCATTATTTTAACCATCTGCCGGCTGCTAGCTCTCCTACCCGCACCTTTCAGCAAAGTCCTGACCGTCTGCAATGTACTGGCAGTTCTGATGTACTTCACAGCTGTGATCATCTGGCCTGTGTACAGCTTCAAGGACCATCCCAAACCAAACTGTCCAATTGCTTATCTCTGTGGATGGAATTTGTTGGTTGTTATTTCTGTCATGACCTGCTTTAATCTGGTTGCTTACATTGTGGACACAGTTTACTCGTTCAAGTTGACTTTTACCACCAGGGAAACATGAGCATGTCCGGCCAAATGCTTCTGTCACAACGTTGCTTTTTTGAGATCATGAAACTTTGATTTAAAGCCTAGATTTAGCAACAAAATAGCATTATATTTTCCTTTCTGTTTATGATTTCTATTTATGGATACATTTAATCATTC